GAGAGGGGTTCTCTGTGCCTCCTGGATTTTAATGCCTGTTTCCTTCCTCACATTAGGGAAGTTTTCTGCTATAATTTGCTCCAATATACCTTCTGCCCCCCTCTCTCTCTCTTCTTCTTCTTCTGGGATCCCAATTATTCTAATGTTGTTTCGTCTTATCGTATCACTTATCTCTCGAATTCTGTCCTCGTGATCCTGTAGTTGTTTCTCTCTCTTTTTCTCGGCCTCTTTATTTTCCATCATTTGGTCTTCTATATCGCTGATTCTCTCTTCTGCCTCATTTATCCTAGCAGTTAGTGCCCCCATTTTTGATTGCACCTCATCAATAGCCTTTTTGATTTCGATTTGGTTAGATTTTAGTTCTTTTATTTCTCCAGAAAGGGTTTCTCTAATAACTTCCACGCTTTTTTCAAGCCCAGCTAGTATCTTTAAAGTCATGATTCTGAACTCTAGGTCCGACATCATACTAATGTCTGTATTGAGTAGGTCCCTGGCTGAAGGTACTACTTCTTGTTCTTTTTGCTGAGGTGATTTCTTTCGTCTTGTCATTTTGTCCAGAGGAGAATAGATGAATGAGAGAACGAAATGCTAACAGGTTTACAACGTCCCCAGCAAATATACTGTATACAAATCAGAAAAGACCTGAAACCAGGGGAAAAGAAAGGGAAAGAAAGAAAAAGAAAGAGAAAAAAAAAAAAAAAAAAAAAGATAAAAACAAAAACAAAACAATACAAAAAAAGCAGAATATGATCAAATATGATCAGGCTAGTGCATAGATCAGTGCCACACACTAGATTTTGGGTGTATTTTGGTCTGTTAGAAAAAAGTGCCTCCTAAAATTTTAAAGGAAGAAAGACATATATGTACAAAATAAGGGTTGATACAATGAAGGGATGGAAGATGACTGTAAAGATGAAAATTATAAAAGGTTTTATAAAAGGACTTGGTAAGATAAGTTGTTTGAAAAAAGAAAGAAGATTTAAGAAAAGAAAAAAAAAAAGGAAAAAGGGAGAGAATGTGATCAGGCAGGAGACTAGAACAAAGCCATACACTAGTGATTTAGGGTATATTTTGATCTATTAGAAGAAACTGTACCTCAAAATTTTAAAGAGAGAACAACTTATATATATATGCCAAAAATAAGGGTAACTACTATGAAGGGATAAAATATGACTCTAAAAATGAAAAATGAAAAATGTTTTTTTTTTTTTTTAAAAAGGGATTGATAAGATGTTGGTTAAAAAAGGGAAAAAGAAAAATAAAAAAAAACAGTCAACAAAAATTAACTTTGATGAAATAATGAATCATGGTAAAAAAAAAAAAAAAAAAAAAAAAAGCCATGAATCTATGTGCAGTATTCCCCTAGCGCTGGAGTTCTCCCATTCTCCTTGATCTATCAACTTGGTCTTGGCTTGCTGGCTGTTTGTGCTGATCTTCTGGGGGAGGGGCTTGTTGCTGTGGTTTCCAAATGTCTTTGCTGGAGGCGGAATTGCCCCGCCCTTGTGGGTCCGGGCTAAGGAAGCTGCTCCGGTTTGCTCTCAGGAGTTTTTGTTCCCTGCAAGCTCTCCGTACAGCCTTGGAGGACCAGGGCAGAAATGGTGGCCTCCCAATCTCCACCCGGAGGAGCTGAGAACTCGGGGCCCCGCTCCTCAGTGTGCCCCCAGAGAAAAGCAGTCACTTCCGTGTCCCCGGTCTCTGGCTGCACTCCGTGCTCACCCGGCCTGTGACCGAGCGTTGCTATCTCTGGCACCCGACCCCGCGCAGAGTCTCCAAACCCAGCAGATCCCTGCAGTGCGTTCCCGCACCGCTCCTCCCCGGGAAGGAAGGGGAGTCTCCCCGGATCTGCCGCCTGCTGGGTCCCTGCTGGAGGAGCCATGCCCCGACTGGGCCGCAGATCACAGTTTATGGCAACCCCGAGCTGAGAGCCCGCGACTCTGCTCCGTCTCTGCAGCCAGCTTCCCCGCTCTGATACCTGGGAGCTCTGGCGCACTCAGGCACCCCCGGTCTCTCTGTGACCCCAAGGGTCCTGAGACCACACTGTCCCGGGAGGATTCCACCCCCCGCTTAGCCACTGCAGCGACGTCCCTCCACGGAGCCAACTTCTAAAAGGTCCGATTTTGTGCTCCGCGGCTCTAGCACTTGCCAGAAGCGGCCGGCGGAGGCCCCTCCCCCGCCGTCTATCCTCCCGAATATCGCCTCGGATTCACTTCTCCGCACGTCCTACCTTCCAGAAAGTGGTCACTTTTCTGTTCAGAGAGTTGTTGCTACTCTCTTCTTCGGTCTCCTGTTGAGTTCGTAGGTGTTCAGAATGGTTTGATCCCTATTCAGCTGAATTCCTGAGACCAGACGAAATCTAGGTCTCCTACTCCTCCACCATCTTGCTCCGCCCCCAGATTCTTGGTCTTTGCTCAGGTCATGATGTCAGGGTTGTGAGATCAAGCCCTGTGTCAGGCTCTTTGCTGAGTGCAGAGTCTGTTTAAGTTTCTCTGTCCCTCTCCCTCTCTCCCTCCTCCCCATGCGCTCGCTCTCTCTCTCTCTCTCTCTCTCTCTCTCTAAACAAATCTTTAAAAAAAATAATAGTTGCTGATATTTAAGTTTTATGCTCTAGGATAAAGTTGGAGAATTTGCTAAACTGAGTAAAATTGAACTCCTTGAAGCTACTGAGAAGTCTATTGGTCCTCCGGAAATGCACAGATACCATTGTGAACTCAAAAACTTCAGGGAGAAAGAAAAACAACTAGAGGTATTTATAAACAGACAACTCATTTTTATGTCCCTCGCTGATTTCCATCTTTCACAGTGTGATAGAGTGAATAGTAGCTCTGATTCAAGTGACTTCATATATTTGTGATGTTTTTTTTTTTTCCCACCTAGGATTGTATTGCTGACATTAATTAAACTAAGTCACAGTAAATGAGAATTGGGTTTGAAAAAAGTTTGAAAAATTTGACTTATCATTTCATCAAATACATGTTATTAATTGAATTTCTAAGGAACCAGTGATAGTATTTTAAAGTATTTATTTCTCTCAGGAAGTTTCAGTATTCTTTCAGCATTTCTTAAACACCTGCCACGTGCCAGGACGGTACAAGGCTTTGGGTAATATAGCAGTTACCCTGTAGCTTTTGATGTAGTGTCTCTGTTGAACAATTCTCATATTTTTTCAGTTGCAGGAGGGTTGACTTTGTAAGAGAGCTTTGTGTTTATTTGCAGTATTGTTTTTATGTTCACCTTTAATAAACATACACATTACTTACAGCATATCATTTGAAAAGGTGTTTTGTTCAGTGAATCATTTTCTGTGTCCCAGCCACTAATATAAATTCAGTAAATTTTCATAATAAGATATCTTATAAACAAATGCTTTCTCTTAAATTGTAACTGTCCATAGTTAATAATAGGCATATTATTATAATTTAATATTTATTAGTGACCAAAGGAATAGTAATTATACTGCTTTAGATACTCTGTCAGTCTTTTTACCCTTTCCCCAGTGGAACAGTCTGATACAGTAATCCCCCATTCACACTTTAGTTACCTGCCATTTCAGTTACCCACAGTCACCTGTGGTTCAGAAGCAGATGATCCTCCTGACGTACGGTCACAAGGTCAGCAGTAGTCTGACATTATGTCACAGTGCCTCACTTCATCTCATCACATGGCATTTTATTATCCCACATCATCACAAGAAGAGGGGTGACAACAGTACGATAATATATTTTGAGAGAGAGGCCACATTCACATAACGTTTATGACCATTTGTTGTTAAAATTCTCCTCTTTTGTTCTTATTAGTCTCTTACTGTGTCAGACATACAAATTAAGCTTTATCATAGGTATGCATGTTTAGGAAAAAGCAGTCTATATTTATATATATATATATATATATATATATATATGGCTTTGCACTAAGTGGTTTCAGGCATCCTCTAGTGGTTTGGGACTATATTCCCCACAGATAAGGGGAGGGACTACTCTACTCGATCTGAAACACTCTGAAATTACAGCTCTCCTCTGAAGGAATGCAAACACATACCCTACTAGGTTCTGAGTACATCTTTGCATTTGTTAACTCGCAATCTAAAGGCCAGATTTAGCTTCCTTCATCTCATTTCTGAATCCTTAAGCCATGGGTGTTCATAACATACTAATCGTAATAATACTACTTTCATTTGTATATCACATTAACAGCTTTTGTTGAACTTGTACTTAAAGTAAGTAGGTTGCTTCTACCCTTGAGGTGAGTGGGGCAGATCCGTGTCTTGTCTTTAGGCAGGAAGAGGCTAGGCTCAGAGATGTGGTGGGGCTTTCTCACAGTCACACGATTAATAAATTGCAGGGCCTAGACCAGAACTCAGGTATGCATGTTAGTTGTACAGTTCTTAAGAACTGTGAAATTCTTCATTGTGAAATTTTGCTAGCATTGTACATTTTCATCATTATAGGGTTTGACCTGTTGTCTTTTCAGGTAAACTAATTGTTAAATATTTGTTTTAGACCTCATGCAAAGAGAAAACTGAGTATCTAGAGAAAATGATTCAGAGGAATGAAAGGTATAAACAAGATGTGGAGCGGTTCTATGAACGTAAGCGACATTTAGATTTGATTGAGATGCTTGAAGCTAAAAGGCCGTGGGTGGTAAGTCTTAATTATTAGTGGCAAAAATAGCGATGCTTTAACTAGCAGAAAGGCTATATAAAGAAGGCACTAATTGCTCTGTATTCAAATTAGGTGCTTTTGTTCATTTTTGCCTTATATATCATAATAAAACTGGTGTTATGATATAGCTGTGTACTGTTACTCTTATTGTGTAACAAATAACAGTTGATTGTGCTCTTAATTCTTCCAGATTTGAGTCCTCAACAGATAGTTTGTTCTATAAGGTGTCAATGATCTAAATATGTTTACACATAAAAATTAAATCTTCGAGTGTCCTCAGGTCACAGAGAGTTTACTTGGCATGTACCACTGATAAGTTCAGGTACAGATGTAGCTGAAAGCTGTGGACTATAATTCTTTCCTCCTGCTTCCTTAGTTTATTGAGGCTACTCTTTCCTTTTAATCGCTGTGCAGTGTATAGTTATTAGTTATGACCACAGTTTCAGCTGAAGAGTCCATTCACTCAGTGTATCTCTTCATGACGGGCGGAACAGAATAAGGAAGTTTTATAATGTTTGTTCTAGGATTTGGAGGGAGGTAATTGTTAATAGAACAAGTGGCTGTATTTGTGGCCTTTCTCCACCACCCCTTCACCCTACCCTGTCCCATAAGTCCATAATTCTTAAACTTTTTGCTTTTCAGCTTGTTTTGACTACATTTTCCTATGCCTCTTATTCTCTTAACCTACTTTATCTTTCTCCTTTAAAGTCTTTTGGTTTATCCTTTTCTTTCTCAGATTGATTTCAATCTTTTTTCATTTCTTTTTAATTTATTCTAATGTTTGTAATCTTTTCTTCGTCCCATTCATTCTTACTATATGCTCTGTGAGCACTCCACTTACTTTTTTTTTCTAGCAAATATTTATTAAGTCTTGTGCATGGCAAGCATCGTTTTTACCCGCATTTTTGTTCTTCTTTTGACCCATTTTTCCTTTGTTTTGTTTTTGCATTTTTACTTTTCACAACTGAGTTTCTCTTATTTATATGTTCTCATATCCCTTCTTTATTGAGAGACTAGAGGAAAACCTCATTTTAGTAGCAATTACTCTGTAAGTTTCAGAACCATGGAAGTCGGAGTCCAGCCTAGTGATAAATACTCACTGAGTATCAAGGTTCTTGATAAGTCATTGTGGTATTCACTATTTCTCAAGTTGTTTCAGAGGGTAAATTTTCTATTAGTAGGCCTGCCGAAAGGATATCAAAACAGTCTTTTCATAGATTTGGTTTCTGCCTGCACCTTGATTTTAGTAGATGTGTTAGTTTAAGCTAGTAGTACATTAACTTTTCTTACTTGAATTAATTGCAAGGAATATGAAAATGTTCGTCAGGAGTATGAAGAAGTAAAACTAGCTCGAGACCGAGTGAAGGAAGAGGTGAGAAAACTTAAAGAAGGGCAGATCCCTATGACCCGTCGAATTGAAGAAATTGAGAGGCAGCGTCACATTTTGGAGGCTCAAATCAAAGAGAAGGTACTTTTTTGGCTCAACTTAGGATTTTCTGTTTTTTTAGCAAGTACAGAAGCTACTCTGCAGGCTTTCTAAGTTATTTTGTGCATTTACTTGTAGCTTTCGTTCCTTTTTTAACTCAATTCTACCACGATAGGGCTTTCAGGGTCCTAATCGTCACTTTTTGCAGGTTGCTGCTTAATAAGAATTCCAGCATACAAAAGAGAAAACTGAAATGGGATTTTTTTTTCCTCCCCAAAGATTTTATTTATTTGAGAGAGAGCGAGCGAGCATGAGTCGGGGCAGAGACAGGGAGAGAGAGAAGCAGACTCCCCTCTGAGCAAGGAGCCCAGTACGGGGCTCGGTCCCAGGACCCTGACATCATGACCTGAGCTGAAGGCAGATGCTTAACCGACTGAGCCACCCAGCCACCCTGAAATGTGATTGTTTTAATGATAAGAGAATTCAGAGTAGTAGTCCTGGAAACATTGAATTTCTTCTGTGAATTTATCATAGAAAACCTGATGTTTCTTAGAATAAATAGTATAATGGCATATGGAATATTCCATTTATTAAAAAAAATTACCTAAAAATTTTAAACTTAAAAAAATTTTTATGGTCATGGCTCTTGACCTTTAGGGAGATTTTGGGAGTTCCAAGATTTTGAGAACAGTTTGAACTATGGATCCTGCTATCCTAATAGGATGGTTTCTAGGATCAGATGAAATACCACAAGATAATAAATGTGAAGGGATAAAGAAACATGTATGCATCCTGCTACGGCTATTTTTAATATCAGTGAATAACCTTTTACAGATTTGCAAGTAAGTTAGTATTTTTGTTGGTAACTATAAATTTGGTATGAAAGAAATGAAAAGCATTGTGGGTTAACTTGATATTTGGATGGGTGGGACCACATAATTTGCTTGCATGAGATTTTAACTAAATTCCCCTCCTTCTGGTTCAATTTTACAGGCAACAGATATCAAGGAGACCTCTCAAAAATGCAAACAAAAGCAAGATATTATAGAAAGGAAAGATAAACAGGTAAGATTTTGTATTGAAATTTTTACTGTGCTAATTTAACCTGACTTCTGTGTTCAGGTCTGAATTATGGGACAACTTTTCGTTTGGAAATTGTCTAACGTCCTGCTCAGTAGAGCAGTTGCACAGATGATAATGAGGAAAAATTCTCAAAACTACTCCTAGTAGATAGGCACTGTGATCTTTGTAACTGAGTGGCTATAGTTTAACAGGGTAATGGTAAAATTGGATTTAGTTATCTCAGTAGCAGAAGTTAAATTTTGAGATTTATTCTGTTGATGTTAAGAGTAGGACGTTAAAAAGCTGATTACAAATTCTATGTGTATAGGTGGGGCTTGATGGCAAAATCATTTTAAGACGGCTGTGCAAGAGAGTAGACTTCTTAGCTAAGAGAGCCCCAACGGTATGTGGGGTTTTGTTCTTCAGAACCATTCAGAAACTAAAGTTTGAATTACCTGTCTTAGAGATAGACGCATAACTTGAAACATTCCCGGTGGTTGAAACACTATGTTCATTTTCCAGTTTTCAGCCTCACCCCTTTTTCTGTGCCTTTGTCTTCAGATCCCAGGTGCCTCTCATTTAATTTCTCCAGAGAATAAACCTCAAATTTCCGTGGCAGAGGCTAGGCCGTCAGTGCCGAGTGCTCAGGGTGTCTGAGTGGATGGGGTGCTGGAGCGGTGGGGTAGGAGGCGTAGGGCAGGGTAGTCCTGTTGTACGTGGTATCTTTTATACTTGACATCTCTGAGTTTTTTTTTTTAACTTTTTATTGTTATGTTAATCACCATATATTACATCATTTGTTTTGGTGTAGTGTTCCATGATTCATTGTTTGTTCGTAACACCCAGTGCTCTATGCAGAATGTGCCCTCTTTAATACCCATCACCAGGCTAACCCATCCCCCTACCCTCCTCCCCTCTAGAACCCTCAGTTTGTTTTTCAGAGTCCATCATCTCTCCTGGTTCGTCTCCCCCTCTGACTTACTCCCCTTCATTCTTCCTCTCCTGCTATCTTCTTCTTTTTCTTTTTTCTTAAAATATGTTGCATTATTAGTTTCAGAAGTACAGATCTGTGATTCAACAGTCTTGCACAATTCACAGCGCTCACCGTAGCACATACCCTCCCCAATGTCTATCATTCAGCCACCCCATCCCTCCCACCCCCGACCACTCCAGCAACCCTCAGTTTGTTCCTGAGATTAAGAATTCCTCATATCAGTGAGGTCATATGATACATGTCTTTCTCTGATTGACTTATTTCACTCAGCATAACACCCTCCAATTCCATCCACGTCATTGCAAATGGCAAGATCTCATTCCTTTTGATGGCTGCATAATGTTCCATTGTGTATATATACCACATCTTCTTTATCCATTCATCTGTCGATGGACATCTTGGCTCTTTCCACAGTTTGGCTATTGTGGACATTGCTGCTATAAACATTGGGGTGCACGTACCCCTTCGGGTCCCTACATTTGTATCTTTGGGATAAATACCCAGTAGTGCAATTGCTGGATCGAACGGTAGCTCTAATTTCAACTGTTTGAGGAACCTCCATACTGTTTTCCAGAGGGGTTGCACCAGCTTGCATTCCCACCAACAGTGTAGGAGGGTTCCCCTTTCTCCACATCCCCGCCAACATCTGTCGTTCCCTGACTTGTTAATTTTAGCCATTCTGACTGGTGTGAGGTGGTATCTCATTGAGGTTTTGATTTGGATTTCCCTGATGCCGAGCGATGTTGAGCACTTTTTCATGTGCCTGTTGGCCATTTGGATGTCTTCTTTGGAAAAATGTTCATGTTTTATGCCCATTTCTTGATTGGATTATTTGTTCTTTGGGTGTTGAGTTTGATAAGTTCTTTATAGATTTTGGATACTAGCCCTTTATCTGATATGTCATTTGCAAATATTTTCTCCCATTCTGTC